TTAAGAAATATATGCTTGAACCTTTCAGTTTCTAAGCTGTTTTATTGAGAAATCACAGAACAGTGTTGACAATACTCTGCGCTACTGAATGATTCTGTGCGCGTGATGTATGCGCTACTGTCTGTAATGTGTGTGCGTTACAGTGCAGCAGCGCATTAGATCAGAACGGCGATTCACTTACCTGTACAATAAGCTGTTTAAAACGTGCATTCTCCCGTTCAATTTCTTGAATCCAGATGGTATAATCACACGTCTTGTGGAGCGCTTTCAGAGGATGCATTTATTTGTCATTTTAACTGTTTGGAAACTGAGCGTAAATATGGATTTCTTATCCTGTTGTGCCCTCTATAGGACCAGCGACTATTGTGTGTGTGTGTTTGTGTGTGTGAGTGAGTGTGTGGATCAGTTGAAAGCCGTTCTGAATGAGTGTGTTTGTGTGAATGATGGTGATTGTTTGAGTCCAGATGTTCAGCACAAACTGGACAAACCTTCACTCTCAGACGTCTTCATCAAAATTACTCGTCTTTTTTTTTTTTTTATTCTAATGTTCTATAGTTGTTCTTTTTATTCTAAAATGCTCAGCGTTTTAGTGTTTGTACTGATTTTAATTGGCTTTATGTAAAAATAAGTTTATGACATCAGCTCATTTACGTGTGTGTGTGTGTGTGTGTGTGTGATGCTGGCATTAAATGACGCCTGATGTAAATAATTAATGTTTGTTCTTGTTGTTTTTTGGATCATGAAACCTGAATAGAGCCGCTGGTGAATTACCCATGATCCTCCACACACACACACACAGCTGTAAGGGCCGTTCACACAGAACACGTTTGTTCAAATCTGATCTGAACTTGAGCGAGACGCTGAGAAAGACACCAATGCAGTGATTCAGTGTGAACATGAACCCTAAAAACATGATGATGATGATGATGATGATGAAGGTTCAGTTTGTTGCTCGAGTGAAAAGGGAAATGAATGAACGTGAGTCTGAAACTGTATCTTGTGCTTTCATAAGACATTTAAAGTGCATGTCAGTGACGTCTTCATCATCATCTTCTTCATCAGCAGCAGCTTCCTGACAGTGATGATGATGATGATGATGGTTGATCTGATCTGTAGATCAGTGTTTAAGTGAATGTGATGATGATGATGACGACACACAGTCATGTCTCGTGGGTTTGAGGTTCCTGGTGATTTGATTGGTCACGTGCATGTCGTCGGGTCACATGACTGCTTGTGTCACTGACGTTGGCTGGTTTCTGCTGCGCTCTGTTATTTTTGTAGTGAATGTTTGGTTATTTTTATGCTTCAGGGTTTGAGGTTAATAAATAAATAATAACTTATACTCGTCAGTGTTTCATTAATAAAAACAACAGTTGAGCGTGTCACTCGTTATCTGTCCAGATCATTTATGTTGTTTCTGGTACATAAATAACTACAGATTTACTAAGTGTCGTTTTAGTATTATTTATATACTATTTCATATTTTAGTGGTTTTGTCGTCTTTTTTTAATTTTTTTTTTAGTTACTCGTCTTTTTTTTTTTTTATTCTAATGTTCTATAGTATGTTCTTTTTATTCTAAAATGCTCAGCGTTTTAGTGTTTGTACTGATTTTAATTGGCTTTATGTAAAAATAAGTTTATGACATCAGCTCATTTACGTGTGTGTGTGTGTGTGTGTGTGTGATGCTGGCATTAAATGACGCCTGATGTAAATAATTAATGTTTGTTCTTGTTGTTTTTTGGATCATGAAACCTGAATAGAGCCGCTGGTGAATTACCCATGATCCTCCACACACACACACAGCTGTAAGGGCCGTTCACACAGAACACGTTTGTTCAAATCTGATCTGAACTTGAGCGAGACGCTGAGAAAGACACCAATGCAGTGATTCAGTGTGAACATGAACCCTAAAAACATGATGATGATGATGATGATGATGAAGGTTCAGTTTGTTGCTCGAGTGAAAAGGGAAATGAATGAACGTGAGTCTGAAACTGTATCTTGTGCTTTCATAAGACATTTAAAGTGCATGTCAGTGACGTCTTCATCATCATCTTCTTCATCAGCAGCAGCTTCCTGACAGTGATGATGATGATGATGATGGTTGATCTGATCTGTAGATCAGTGTTTAAGTGAATGTGATGATGATGATGACGACACACAGTCATGTCTCGTGGGTTTGAGGTTCCTGGTGATTTGATTGGTCACGTGCATGTCGTCGGGTCACATGACTGCTTGTGTCACTGACGTTGGCTGGTTTCTGCTGCGCTCTGTTATTTTTGTAGTGAATGTTTGGTTATTTTTATGCTTCAGGGTTTGAGGTTAATAAATAAATAATAACTTATACTCGTCAGTGTTTCATTAATAAAAACAACAGTTGAGCGTGTCACTCGTTATCTGTCCAGATCATTTATGTTGTTTCTGGTACATAAATAACTACAGATTTACTAAGTGTCGTTTTAGTATTATTTATATACTATTTCATATTTTAGTGGTTTTGTCGTCTTTTTTTAATTTTTTTTTTAGTTTGTTTATACATACACTGCTGTTTAAACGTTTGAGATCGGTAAGCTTTTAATGTTTTATAAAGAAGCCTATTATGCTCAGAAAAATAAAGAAAAAAACGTAATATTGTGAAATATTATTACAATTAAAAATAATAGTTTTCTATTTTAATATATTTTTATTTATAATGTATTTCTGTGACGCAAAGCTGTATTTTCAGCATCATTACTCCAGTCTTCAGTGTCACATGATCTTCAGAAATATATAGCTTTAGTTTTATTTTAGTAATTTACAACATTCATAATAACAGTAATCGACGTTTCTAATTGTTTTAGTTTTTTAATCTAATATTTATTGTATTTCAGCTAACAAAATTGATTCTAATAGTTCAAATTAAGAATTACAATTTTATTTGAGGATTTAAAGTTTTAATTATCTTTGATATAATTAATATTTTGTTCAGCATTTATTTAGTTGTTTTTAGCATTTTGCATATTTATATTAAAAAATAAAATGCTAAAAACAAAATTATTTAACTTTTAAAAAGAAAACTTCAAAGGCTAAAAAAAATAATAATTTATAATAGTTCCAGTGAACAATAACAACACTGGACACTGAGTTTATGATCTTATTTTTTTCAAAGGTGTTTGCATAAATTATTTAAATGAGTTTTGTAGACAAATATCAGCTATGCTTATATATATATATATAATGTATGTATTTCTTGACTATTTAGCTTTAATGAAAGTGGGTTGTAGGGTTGCAGCATCATGAAGATCTCGTCACAGTTTAATAACCTCGTGAAGCTGCTTGTCTGTAAGAGCTGTTAGTCACAGTATTATTGGTCTTAAACTAAGAAAAGGAAGTATGAA